TATTCGTTTGGAAACCATGTCGTTCGGCTTGAGCCAATCGTCTTCTGGGCTGATGTCTATCCATAGGTATTACTAACCATTCATCGTGTGGCAATGTCCCACTGAAACGCCTTGGTAGAGAATGCTAGAGATAAAATAACCAAACAATTGAAGAAAAAAAGAGCCGATGTTTGAAGAAACAGTAATCACCGGAGTTTTATATCCTGATGCTATTGAAACGACTCGGATTTCATGCTAAATGCTAACGCACACCGAGACGCACACGTATACGAGAACTGATGCAGGTAACGTCAGCTCGCACCAAACAGTTCCGGAGGCAATAAGCGATCCGCCGATTCCCCGAGGCGTATTTTACTGGTCGCAAGCACCACGTGTTGTAGGTTGCGGGAGAAAGGGGTCAAATCATCATCGAATCTGCCGCGTGTCCAGGGAATTGTCGCCGGTTCGCTGAAAGCAGCTGACGGAAATGCTAATGTGCCGCTCCGGATATTGCGAACTCCGCGCTCCGACCAAATAACCTCCCAACTGCTCGTAGGTATCCATACATGTATTTTCCACTCTGATGCTATTGCACCCCTCCCCCCCACCACCACCGCCCCGGATGGTGCTCATCACGTGCGTTAACCCCATTGTAATAAAAGTTCGGGCTACTTTTTAATGGCTTTTTCCCTCCCACGTGTTAAAAACGATACGACGCGATTTGCGAGGCAGTTCAACTATCAAGAGAAAATTAATTTTTTAGAAAAAAGTTAAGCTCGTGCTCTTTGCAGTCTGTAATTTTGTCTCCATTGTACTAAATCCAAATTCTTGAAATATTTAAAAATCGTTTCAATTTCTAATTGATTTTTTAAAACTAAACCTGTGGGATAGAAGAAGAGAAAACAATTTATAATAGCGTATTGTTTGTTGCCATGAGCTATCAGTCGAATCAATAAAATCGGAGTTTAAAGATACCAGTAAACGTTTAGAGGCTATTTAGTTAGCCCTCCTTTACAAAATTAGTAATTATATTAGAGTTTTTCATTCAAAGAGTTTCAAAATTAATAATACTAAAATCGTATTACTTGAGCTCAAATGATGATTAAATATAAACATGTACTTGGAAAATGAATGATTTTCCATTTTACATAATAAAATAAAATCATTGTGAAATCATTAAATACTTTTTTATTCTTCATTCCTTTGGACCCTTCACGTAAAAGTGAATAGCTGCTCGGCGTACGCTTTGTCCAAAGTGCATAATAAATTATAAAGTTCTTGGATGCATCAATCTTATTCAATTCGTGCTTAAACAGCTCGCTCGCGCAAGTTTTCCGAACATTTAAAAACAAATCGTGCTCAAGCGTAAAAAAATAAAAATAGTTTAAGTCGTTTTAAACACTAATTCCGCGTGTACAGTTTGCAAACTTAAATATGCAAAATCCCCAAGACTCAAGTAAAACTACGTTTCTGGACATCCAATTGGCTGACATTTTATCACGTAGTACAAACAAATTTATCGAGAGTCTTGTTTGTGTTATAATTTGTATCACAAAATAATTTGTGTACTATAACCTTGTTATACAATAAGTAAAGATACACAAAAAAATAATATTTAAAGCAAAAGTTTCAGCGTATTGATTTTTGTATCATAAAACTTTAAAAGATTCAAGTAGATGGATTACAATCCATCAGTAAGAATTCCCAAAGACATGATGTTTCTTGTTGATTCAAGAAAGAAAAATGAAACACCAGGAGATAATATTTACAAAGCAAAGATTGTTCGAACGACATCCTGAAACCTTGAAATCACGAATAATCTTACTTTCATCTCGACCCAGTAATACAATGAAAGCATAATCCATTCAGAAATCAAATACACGCACTATTAAGCTGCTGTTGACAGGCACACTATTTTTATGCATATCAGATAATGTCAATGCAAAACAATAATTGCGGTTCAAAGAAGAAATAAATCACCGAGAAACCACAATGCTAATACTAAGACAACCAGTAAGCCAAACATCGCTTGTATGTATCAATAATAGGTAATACATCCCTACCTTAGACGTAACGCACTAGTTGGCGCTGGAGGGTCCACAACAATCATTAGCTCGATCATCGTACACGCATTCGGGTATGATCAGCTTGATTAAAATTTGCCCCCCTGTTTGTCGCGCTCCCGATGCAAATTGTGGAAAAGCCCCCGAGATCCCTACCGTGGCCGCAAAAGGAAGAAAGCCGCGGAAATGGAAAACTCGAGCTACCTCCACCCCTTGCCCTCCCACCCTGGACGTGCATGGAATACTGAGGGTTGACTCCAACCACCTTCTCTTCTATTATGGACCTTACTTACGCTCTGCTGCGCGCGTTTCTTTGTTGTGTTTTATTAGCTGCTGCTACTCGCCGGCTTTGATGAGAATTCCAGTAAAGGGGCTTTACAAGGTGCGAGGGCACCGTGGGTTTTGCAATATTTTTCGCCCGCTCCAGGAGGAAGGGTATCCGGTTTAGCGGTAATGCCTTTCACGGCAGTGTCCTGCGAAACGTGATCTAGTCCGCGAGGAGGACGAGTACCTGTTTTTTAAATTCTATTCGTTCTATGGTTCGAGCATTTACTTATACACCAAAGTTGAACACACGGAAATGGACTTTTGTACGATAGCTTCACATCAACTTGTGGACTCTTCTGACTTTCTCGGGATGGGATTCTGGTGAGCTCCGGGAAGCCGTATCATATTGAAGTTTCTTAACGGGGCAGTGCTATTCTTACGAATTTTCGGATAATGAGGTTTTAAGTAGATGCAAAGTGGGAAAACTGACTCTGTCCAAATTGACTCGTCGAGACAAAGTTCAGTGCCGGGCTACTGGTCTAAGTTGCTGGAAAAAAATAACGCGGGACCTTTCGTCGTAGAAAAAACTTTTCCGATTGACCCTAACCTCCCTGGCCCGAATAATTTAGCCTACCAATTAGCTCGGGCTTTCCGAGCAAATAACTTTGGCGTCACCGTGTGCTTCTTAATTCTCCCAGTACCTGGACTGTACTTAAGTATTATATTCCTTTGAATATTCTATAGCGACGTGACAACATTTTTAGAGTTAGTTGATGACGAATTCACTCAAGGGATCACTCATTCCTCGTTTTCTGGGGAATTCAGCTACCGAAACTTGTAGAGAAGCGAAAATTCCAATTTAAAAATTCAAAGCATCGGTTTCAAACTCCACTGAGTACGATTGGCCCGAGGAGTCGGAGTGGCTTGGGCGTTGATTTCCTTTGTCTTTGAACAACAATTTAGGTACTTTTTACACGGAGTACGTATACAGCGCACCGCAACTCCGAACTTGATAATAATTCAGTTGTGATTCCATTATAACTTTGCAGGCGAAGCAACGTCAAAGCACGTGCATAATGGGTGCGGGCTTTAAAGATTTCTACTGAGCTAAGTGCACGGCCTAACGAGCGCTATGTACACCAAATCCGCGGAATATATATGGTGGAAATCTAGTTGGAAAAATCCCCAGTGATGACGTACAAGGGATCGTGCGCACGTGCAGTACACAGCATCAGCACACAATACGCGCTCGGGCGTCACATCCTTCAAGTTGGCGATGAGTGAATAGTATTAAATGTGGGAGGGGAGAACGCGCCCGCAGCCGTAAAGCGCGCGCGAAGTGCGGCGTCATAACCTAACTTTCGAAATCTGCTTTTGCGCCCCGGGTAATAAGTTACACGTCTGCTGCATTAGGCGAAATGCGATTGCGGGGCTGCTGCTGTTTTAGGTGTGCCGTGCGTGTGTGTGGGTGCTTTGTTGCGCGACGTCTTGGTCCTGCAGTAACACGTGTGGTCCCCCTCTCTCCATCTTGTTTTGGTTCTGCAGTGCGAGAACTAAGTTCCCAGCCGAGCTTTCCCCGCAATTAAAGCTGCGTTTGTGCGTTTGTAAAACTCGTGCTTGCTTTGTTTTGAATTACTGAGACAAATTGTTGACTCGGCGTAGTGGCGCTCGCGATCAAACTTGCCTGTATTTACCTTTGGCTTTATGGCGTAGAATTTAATTGCCGTGCGTTCAAATGCATTTGTTCGTTTTGGCCAATGAGAGCTTTGAAGGTGCAAAGTTTTAGTTTTTTCAGCTTAAGGAAATTTTACTGCATCCGTATCGTCATTGTTTGCCGAATTTCGATAACTTTTCCGCAGGTTCCTCTAAAAAGGGTTTACAAATCAACTTTCGAGTTAAGAGTATATTTCATAGTTAAGGTCCGTGTTATACGTAGTCCAGCATATTTCAGATCAAAGAATTGAGAAAAAATTTCAAATAAAAACATTTCTTGCCTTGGCAATTTCGTACTGAGTGGGAAATATCGATGAATTCAATTACTCGCATTAATACTTACCAATCGATAAAATTAGATTATTTCTAATATTCTTATATACCATATGAAAACATTTCTGTTAAATAAAATAATTTTATTTATAACTTTTTGTTACCGTTACAAATTTTCTTATTCGGCTTTATTCTTATTGAGAATACGGCCTTGTTATTGGCCCCTTTATATCGACGTAAAAGTTACTAAATAATTTTTTTTTTTTTACCATTTTTATTGAACATTTTTCTAACTTTCTCAAGGTCGATCGATTGTTGATAGAACTGACACTATTGTATGAATACAGCCTGCAATTGACATGGACTGATTGGATGTTCAACAAAATCTTGACGAAAACGTGAATTTCACTATAATTGTGTTTGATATTCGATTGCTCTTATAGTACAAATATCACCATATTAAATACTGTTTCATTAAATCTCGGTATTATTGATAAAAATACTAAAATATTCTGAAAAATGTTTCAAACAAAACATAAAAACAATTACCATGGAAACAAAATTATTTCATTTTTAGCAATTTGTTTTTATTTACGTAGAAAAGACTGTAATAAGTTTTAAATAACAATGCTTTACAGTAAGTTTATACTATTCCTTCTTCATTATCATCCAACTAAAATCGAATGATTTTTCTTTTTGTTACAGTTCAACTTCGTGGGAAAACTGCTTGGCCCCAAGGGTAATTCCATGAAGCGCTTGCAGGAGGAAACGATGTGCAAGATGGCTGTTCTTGGCAGGGGATCCATGAGGGACAGGCAAAAGGTGAGTTTCCATCATGACTCTAGCAACTGGCAAATGAAAATAGAAAAAAATACCTCTTGGCTTATCCTCGCTTTTTTTCTTTTAATTTTTTCCGTCAACGTGCCGCTCAAAGAAAATTTTCCCCCTCTCGCACGCTCGCGTTGGCTTCGCGATTGCCCCTCGACGCCGACGACGACGCCGGCTCTTACTTCATTTTCGTGCCACTCGAGCGCACCGCTTTGCTTAATTTTTTCATCCGTGCAAACGATAAAAAATGAGAGGAAGGCATCTCGTTGGGTAATTCAAATACTTGGCTCTGAAAAAAGACTCATAAGTCTGCTCTAATGAATGAGCTATTTCGTGTGATTTGTCGTGCTATTTGAAGCGTTTGAAAATTTTTACAAGATAATACGGAGACGATTATGATGACGGATCTCTTCAATTACGTTTATTTTGGAGTGCTTAGTAGATTGAACCATTAAATAATGTTGTTCAATTTAATTTTTCATTAGAAGGTACTACGATTAGCCACTACTGTACATTTTTTTGTTTTAATTTCCACTTGAAGTTGTTTTCAATATTATTGCTAGAAGTTTATCATATTTAATTGGGTTTTAAATTTTTAATCTTGCCTTGCCTCTAGAAAAAAATATGCACTTGAACTTAAGATCACGAGAAGTTTGGTTTTGATATTGTTTTTTAATATTATTACTAACTTACCTCCAAAACATCAGGGGTTTAATAAATTATTGTAAAAATAATTATTTCGAAAGTTGAAATTTAAAAAAAATAGTGAAATAGAGTTAATAAATGTATTGATTTAGAAAAATTTCGTTACTTTACCAAGAGATTCAGTTAAAAAACTAAGCTTTACTCGTATCATAGGTATAGAAAAACTTGGTAAAAATTATCAGACAGTTTTGAGATACTAAATATTTAAATTAAACAGTAATATTTGTGTCCTAGTTCATGCGTATTATCATACTTTCTGATAGAACCTAGGTCATAGTCAATCTTTTCGGTATTTTTCATCATTTGAACTCCTTATTACAAGTTAATTATTGTTGCATCATTGTTATACTCGATGGTAAACTGAAAATTTAAGTGAACTTAATTACAAACAAAAAAACCTTTATTTATTTCTAAACAAGATGAGCATAATTCAGAGCCCCTGGTCGATGTGGCCACAAGAGCAAGAACTACCTCATAGTCATTTCGTGAAACCAAAAAAATTGTTCTACTTCCAATTGCTCGAGTTCTGCCTGCTTCTTAAAAGTTGGTGCAGCAGAAGTAACGAAAACTCACGAAATTCGCGTCTCGCGAAAATTTGAGGCGGCACCCGTGTCTGTTCCTAGGCGATAAGAGAGCAGTAGTGCAAAGCTCGCATACAAGCTGTGACACTATTATTGTCCATAATAACCGTACACTGCAAATACTTTGATGCATACGATGCATGGTACTGGAAAATTTCTGTACATTTACGTTCATATTATAACGGAATATTAACAATCTGTACACTTGGACATTTTGATCGAATAAAAAATGAAATTTTTGTTTTAAACATAAAAATAGTTTTAAAATTTTAACTTACATTTTCACAATTTTTTAATGATATTCTAATGTAGAAATTTCGTTTGAAAAATACATCCATATCAAACTAGACCCTAAAAAATACATGCTTTCCGTCTGTACTGTCTCGTGTACTGTAATGTGTATAATTAACTGCGTTAGTAAGTAACTGCAGCAGAAACCCTTGATACTTTTTCATCAAAGTTTCAATAATCAATAAGCGATGAAATAATATAGGAACGTATTGAACGTAATGATACCTTACAACATTTTAATTAACTACGTTATTTTATCAAATTTATTTGCCAAAATAACCCGTAGGTACCTCTTAAATGATACTCCACTCGCTAACAAAATGGTCCAAGGTTCTTTTGACGGCAAGTGTTGGAGAATCAAATAAAAGCGTAATGCTCAATTAATAACAAGTACATAAGTTTCTTGAAAAATTTATAAATTCAATATTCATACCATCGGAAAATAATTTTAAAATACGACATAGTATAAAATGTTAATTGTATTAAATATTTTTTAAAAATTAAAATTTCTCAAAGGAGACGCAAACATAAAATGAGCCATCAATAACTATAACTACAAATAAGTGAAACTTTTCTATTAGTAATTAATTAGATAGGCATATCCATTTAAATATTTTTGAAATTTGTAAGTGCCGTGGGGATTAGTGATCATGATGTTATCCTACTTGGGAAACACCGTTTTTGTCTAGTCATAAACTAAATAATCCAACTTGCGTTCAGTTTGAAATTGTAACTTTCAAAATCACATACACTCTTTTAACACTCACACAAGATGTTACATAGGTGTATTCTTCGTATAGCAGTATAACAGCCCATACAATATATCACGAAGCTTAGTCACAAATCGTTGTATACTCTTGAAAATTTGCAGTTCAAAAATTTAGCGTGTTGGCGGTAACCAAAGTATTAAGAAAAATAGTATAATAATAATGATAATTTATAACACAAACGCAGTTTAAGTTTTAGCATAAAGGTACATGAATTATTTGGCGATACTTTTCTATAATAAACAGTAATAAATATCACTACACATATTATTACAAATGATTAACATATCAAAATAACAATCAGTGGGTTATAATAAAAACACAGAAAAACGCGTTTTTTCAAAATCGATGTATGCCCAACACCATCATTATGCACTTTTAAAAAAATTATCTCGGCTTATAGTCAAAGCCTTTTCTCCAAAAATATAGAGGACCAACTATACCACTAAACCCTTGGTGTCGTTCTTGTCATAATTTTATTCATTTGATCTACCTTGAAATCATTTTATATCATATATTTCACAGGCGTGAGTATGGCAACCTAAATTGTATCAAATACACCATTTTTTAAGTAAATAAATACGGATCTGAATCTATGTTTCTAGTTTTATTTATTCATTTGTTGAAAATACGGGAATGACTCCCCAAATTTAGCAACTAATACCATTGCGGTATCTAAAATTAGCGCTGATGCTCGAGTTAGGTAAGGTTTTTTAATTATGTAAAAAAATTTAGTGATTAAAAATATTTCTAGTCATGTTGGTTGCAATGTTGGGACATGAAAAAATACTCAAACTCTTATAGAAAACGTACAATTTATAAATTCTAAATTCTTACCACCAACGCAAACTTATTTTACAGTGAAAAATAATGAAATTTTTCAAAGCAAAGAAAAGTATAATGAGCCGTCAATGGCTGACTAAAGATAAGTGAAACTTTCATATCAATAATAGATTAGGTATATCTATTAAATATTTTTCCGTCACACTTTACCCAGGCTTCGGACTCTGACAGTTTAAAAAAAAAAGCTGCCGTGTTTGCACCGTATTCTGCCAATGCCACTAATAGTTGCGGTACATGATACGTTCGTCTTTTTCACCAGAGCATCTTGCAAAAGTTGGAGCGTAAATTATCATACTCGTGTAATCAAATCACGCTAAATCAACGACGATGTACGGGCGCGTTTTCCGCGCGACTCTGCTGTAAAAGTCTCCCGAGTGTGCCGAGGCATCAGAGATACGAAAGGGAAAAAAAACGGCAGAAGAGGTATATATGTGCGTCGAGAAAAGTAGTAGCGCAAAAGAGGGTCGACGCGGCAAAAAGAGCAACAGCAGCCAGCACCACCACTCGTTCACTGGCACGTAATACATTATGCACGCGCGTGGGACTCGAAACGTAGATAGCAGTGGGCTCTGTAATTTCGAGAGATGCCAGACGCAAATACACACGCGGGCACGTGTAGCTTGTTAACCTCAAAAACTACTCTCAAACTCGCTTGGCGAAAAAAAAGCGTACGCGCGGCGAAGGGGGCGTAGGGAAGGTTAAAGGAGAAAAAGATATCCGTGGTTGGCGGTGCCGTGGGCAAACCACTGCTGCGTTGCTCGCGCTCTGCTTGTTTTTCTAGTGCTTAAACGTCGAGGGGATGCGTATCTCTTCGTATAGGTAGTACGCGGTGGCGTTTCTAAAGGTACAGCAGTGGGTTCTTTTTCTTCCTCTCTTTTTTTTAATCCATGCTATGTATTGTTGCAATCGGAAGGGTAAAAAAAAACTTCGCCAACGAGTTCTCAAAAGCAAAGTGATTAGCTGTGAGTCTAATAAAAGCACGCAGGCTTAGGGGTTGATAACGGACAGCCTTGGTAAAAAAGTATATGTTGTAGGTTTTGATGAATATTTATGGCAAAATTAACGCAATAGTGAACTCGCAGCCAGTGACATTTTTCATATTTCCTAGGTGGTCCTCTCTTGGCGCTATTTTCATGCAGACGCGTTTTTCATTTTTATGGATATTTGGTTTCCAACCGCCGATGCTGGTTTGGTAATTTTCTTTGCTCTGTACCAATTGACTACTTTACATCCATCAAAACACTTTGTACGTCAAGATGATTTGGTACTTGTTAGTTATAGTCCACTTACATTTGAGTATATGGTTATGGTTAGACAAAAATTACCAATACTTTATGTAGTTAACAAATGAAAAATTATTTAAAAATTCACAGTTTATCCTTTTTATATTAGGTGACTCAAATGTTTCGCCAGATGTCAGAAGAAAAATCAATTTGGTCACAAAAAAAAAATTCAAACACTTAGATAAGTTTAAAAATAATTTGTTCGATAGCACTACTAATTTAGACCTCGATTGTACATGTATACGGTTTTTTCATATTTAGTTGAAAAAGTTTTATCTCATCACAGTAAACAACACCTAATCAGTTTATTTGCTTTGCACCCAAATGTTTCTGTAATCACTTAATTTTTTTTTTTTTTTTTTTTCGAAAAAAATTCGTATTTTCCCACAAACTTTCATGTTTAGCCTGTAAAAAAACCAAAGTTTCCATACTTTTTCTGAATAAAATTAAAACTGAGTTATTTTACATTGAAATTCACCAGTTTGTATAATTTTATCGACATATACGTTTTGATATCAGCAGCA